AACAAGATGGACCTGGCTGATTTAAAGGAGGAATCCGTAAGAACCTTGTTAAAGTCTTCTCTCTTCCTTCACCAGCATCTTACGACATCGGTGCCCAGAGCGGCAGACTCTTAGAAAATGGAGGGGTATTTTTGATCGTCACGTGTCAAAAAGACATTTAGATCAAAGGTCTTAGCTGTTGGGTACCTTGAGGGCATGGTCATAGCCTATGCAAGCTGGTAGTTTTGTTCCTGTGGGGTAGGAGAATCTGTAACTTGTACAGTACAGTGGGTCTTCAGTCGACATGCAGCCTCAGAAGCAAAGTCCTGAGTCCCTGATTCTGTTTAGATGTGTCCATCTACCCAGAGCTGGGGAAGCAGAGTGGCAACATCTCTGTACATGGCACATTATAATTTCTGGCTCTAGCGCTCCTTTCTCAAATCCCTGGAATTCCTGGTGCATCTGAGTTATACTTTGGCTGGCCCTGTGTTAAGTGTCCTAACTGGCTTTAGGCACTAAGTGTGTTGATAGACCTCCTCTCTCAACTACCAGATCCCCTGTTTGATTCTAGAATGGCAGAGCTAAAGAGAGAGCACTGCTGATTTGTGGCCAGAGAAACATCTTGTGCACCTTGATCCAGCCCAACAGGTACTGCCCCACGCCCAGCCTCCTCGCACCGAGTTCTTCTGGGCCAAAGGAAACCAGTCTGGCCCAGAGGCAAGGAGTTTGATGAGATCAGAAGTAGACGACATTCCCATCTCCCTCCCATGGGGAGCAGCTGTTAAATGACAGCTCTTTTAATTCAAGAACCATGCCCAGTGAGCCAACTCAGTTTGCTCTAACGCTGTGCTAGAGAAGGAGGACAGAGTCTGAGATCACGCTAAAAATCCCCCAGGCCCATCTCTGTCCAGCATTGAACAGGTGGCATCCTTCCTGATCTGTTTCTGGGGGTTGGATTCTCCAGAGGCCTCCCAGTTAGGTTTCTCTGAACCTTTTTTCTGGATCCTCTGACTCGCTGCATTCAGTGAGGGAGGCAAGTTGCCCATAGGGAGACCCTTAAACAGTTGGCAGCTGTCCCCACCAGTATCTGACTAGCTGGTTTGTGGTATGAGGGACAGCCTGACAAGTACCCACTGGTGCTCTGCTTTGTCCACAACTTGGTTTCAGCCTTGCCTGACCATCCTGTCACTGTGGAAGCCAAAGAAACTATCCCTCGGGGTTAAGGCAGGGTGACCCTAATGAGGACACTTTCTGGCAGATGCTGGAAGCCAAACAAGTCTTTGAGCTGTCATCTTCTCTCCAGAAGGTGACTTAAGAGCAGCTGATTGCTGCTGTGCATCTTCTCCAGCTTTAAAATAAATAAGCAGCTGTATCCTGGTTTGTCTTTGTAACTGATGCTGGCCAGTGTCTGGGGTATCATGTGCTATTTTTTGTTATGTAGAAACTTCTCACTTTTATCATTAGAGAATCCTGGAGCAGCTGAAACAGGAAGGCCTCAAAAATGTCATCTTCACAGACTGTGAGAGAGAGGAAAATGTCAAGGAGGTAACATCTCCCAGTGAATAGCAATGCCCTGTGAGGTCTGAATGCAAAAGGGACTCACTATTAATTGGGATCCACTCAGCAGCTAGCACATCTGGGTCTTTGCCTTTTATGTGGAACCAAAGCATCTTTGCCTTTTCAGCTTTCTGCTGGGGTAGCTTGAAGGATTCCAGATAATAGGCCCCATGCATTCCTCTTGTGGTAACGGTTCTGTTATGTTTCTTGCAGATTCCCTGAAGAATTGGATTGGGAGAGTTGCCCCATAGTTGTGCAACTCTCCCCTGGGGCTGTAGTCTGGGCTGTGGGGGTGCCGTGTGGAAAGGTGTTGGAGGACTGAAAATTCAAGTTATCTGTAGTTGCTACAGGGCCATGTACCACTGTGGTTCAAAAGAGACCTTGTTATGGTAGTGGTCTCTATTTCCTGTGAGAACCCAGATGAATGTCAGCAGTCAGGGCATTCCATTTCATCAACCTCCTGGATACTAGAGATCAGGGACTAAACATAGACATTGGATTTTTTGATACATTATAATCTGCCTGGCAACTGACTCCCCAGCCCAGCCCCTGGCTTCTTTACTTTTCATTCCATCCAGGAAGAGCACGCACCAACTGCTGCAGCTTCCTGAGCCTGACGAAGGGTTTTTGAACCCGAAAGCTTGCTTAATAAATATTCTCCAACTATTTGGGTTGGTCTAATAAAAGATATCAAATTCACCCAAGGAACCTTGTCTGCCAGCAGTCAGGGCAGGTATTCTGGATGACATGCAAGGACATGGGTTTGGTCGTAATATACCCACTTCACCTTTCAATTTTGTTAATGTGCAGAGATTTTGATGTCACTTGTACTAATCAACAGAAAGAATAGTCCCCATTTGAAGAGGCTTAGATTATAGCCCATCCTACCAGGAAAGCTTTTTTCCTCGTAGAAAGGGAGCATGGTGCTAATGGTATCTTTAATGGTAATCAATTAATACTTACTATGTGTGTGAAGTATGTGCCTGTGTCCTCTCCTTTGCTGTTATAAAGGTTGTGTGGTGCTGTACTTCTGGTAGAGAGGTTTAGTTAGGGAGGATGCCCTCCCCGCCCCCAACCCCACACACCTCTATATCTGCAGTCTCCTGCATTGGGAAACAAATGGTCAGTTAAAGCTAGAGTGTAGAACAAGCTAGCTGCAGTCAGCCCTGGCTTTCCTTTTGTCTAGGACAGTGGTGCTCAAGCTTTTGGCCCCATGGGCCAGATGAGTGGCGCAGAACTAGTCTGCAGGCCAGATTGGACCCTGTGCTGTCTCCACCCGGCCCCATATGGCCTCAACTGGCCCCTGTTTGCTGGGATCAGGCACCTGTGCAGGGACTGGGGTTCCCCACAAATCTGTAAATTTGACAGGGAACCAGTGCTCCCCCGCAGTCAAACTTTCAGCTCTGTGGGGAGCCCCGTGGGACAGATAACATAGTGCCAGGGACCAAATGTGGGCTGGGGGTTGAGCACCCCTAGCCTTGGAAACTGTGGAATCTCTGTTCCCAGCTCCAAGGCACTAGCCATGGAGAACAGAACGAAAACTTCTTGGGGGAAAAAGATACCCATGCTTTGCATAAAGACCTTCACTGTATCCCTGCAGGTAGTTCCCCTCATCACGGAACTGGTCAGCAGCAATCAGCGCTACCAAAGAGCTGAGGTGAGCTAATGGGCAAGAGGAAGAATGTGTAGCAAATGTGTCTAAGGGAGTGCTTTTGAAGTCCTAGCCTGACATGATAGCCTATAACTTCCAGAAGGGCAATGTCAGCTGTGGGTTTAGCTGGCTGCATGAATAAGAGACATGCCCCTTAGACTGGGGACCCAAAGGAGTTGACCCCCATTTCCACTGGGGTCAGCAGGTGATGTAACTACTGGGGCTGCTGCAGCAGTGTTGTGAGCTTTGCTTCCTGTTGCAGGCTCAGACACTAGAAAAACAGCACATACTTCT